CCGACAATATAGCGAGCATGATTAAATCTGGAAAATAAACAAAATTAGAAAAATTATATATAAATGCAGCAAGAATGAAATGTTACCAACTAGTTGTGGTTGTCAAGGATAAAAGTTTTTCAAAAAATTTTGTCATAGATCTACATAAAAATTAGAATTTTTATCATTTTTGAAAATACACGAATTATTTGTTTTATTAATCATTTTTCTTTTAATTAATTGTAAGAACACACGTATACGTGAGCGATATACAATAATTAAATGGAAAGAAAATATCTTTACTTACTCTTACAGAATTAGTATTTATTCTTATTTATATAAAAGATATAATCTCTCGTGCACTTAGAATAAACTCGTTCAATCTTTTGATTGCTGTAATGTTAAATGAACAACTTTCGTCGAAGAAATGATAATATTGAAAAATCCGTACCATGTACGAATATGTAGATAATTTTTTGCTGACAAATATTTATTTGCTAAATGCATAAAAAAAAGCGTAAAAATCTCAACTTTTCTTAACCTATGATTTTTCCATCATTAAGTTTTATATAATTTTATGTACATTAAAAGCTTAAGATTTAATAAAACATGATTAATTTGAATAACGAAGAAAAATAACTAAATTTGTGAATTCTCTCACTGAGAAGTTTCGCTTATGCTACTCACGATAATCCGTACGAAATAAAACCCGACCGAGTTATTCAAGCCCGAATAAATAATTTATATGAAAAATCAAGAAATATACATGTCACGGTATTAAAATTTTGAATATACATTTTTGATCCATTTGACCCTCTCGCTACGCGCGTCGCTTATAGGCGACATCATCTGCCTGTTAGTCTGCTCAATTAAATAAAAACTGAGCTAATTGTGTTTCTTGGCCAAAAACTTGATATAATGGTAACTCGACGACGCTGAATCGAATGGTGCTAATTTTTTTGCAATTGGATTAAGATATCTTTGAGAAAAAGGGTAAAAAAGGGTAAAAAAAAGCCATATCTTAAAATCTAGGCATTTAATCAAAAAAAGTTGTACACAAAAGTTGTAGAAAATTGAAAAATACATAAAAAATATTCTAAAGTGTATCTTTGTATTTGCTAAAATAAGCGAGAAATATTGGTAAAATTGATTTTAGGAGTAGGTGACAAGCCACGCCTCTTCGTTGGTCTTTACACGCGAACGAGTTAGTGTGCGTTATCTTAGGGTCTCTCGGTCGTGAATGCGAGTGCAAGTGAAAAAAGAAATGGATATTTCTCCCTTTCTATTTGTTTAAGCGATAGCGAGTATTTTTGTTTAAGCCATCGATTTTGTTGAGATATAATATTTTTGCAGAGTGTACTACCGAACATACGAGCAACCAGTGGAAAATTCTTTTTCATAGCAGAGAACACGATACGGAAATAACTTGGAATATTATTTTCTCGAATGAGTTTATTTTTTATAGTTTTCTTTTAATCAATATGGGAATCGCAAATACAAAGTGTTTATTTTTTATTACATTTGGCTGTAAGTAATACAATTACATTATATTATTATGTATTTCGAAAGATTTATATAAACACAAAATTTATATATACCCATGTTCTATTTAAAATGGTAGGAATAGGTTTATGATGTCATTTAATGATGTGAGATTTTTAAAATAATAGTTCGAATCAGCTTTTCTAGAATATTAGAAAAAAATTACATATGTAATACCGAAATTTATTAGAAAACGTTTTGATTAAAATACAAAAATCCTAATCAATATTTTTCATGAAAATCAATTTACAAATAAAAGTATAAGTTCTAAAAAATATATAAACATGGATTTAAATAGCCAATAATTTATATCTTTTCCTCGATATTTAATTAGGTTATGACGCCGAAAATATTTAATGACAAATAAGCTCATAGATTAATTTCTTTTCTCCTTTCTATTTATTCGATCATTTTATTTCATGTATTTTCGATATTTGCTTCAGTCCTTTGAGTTTAATATGTATAAGAATAACTATGTAATTGGTATAAATTTCACTCGAAGTGSTTTAGACGAGGTCAAAGTGAGATCTGCCGAAAACGTAACGTCATCTAGCTCATCAACCGGTTCCAGCTCAAAATTGTACAATATAAAAGCTACGAAGACTTTAAGCTCGAGCATTGCCAACTTCTGACCTGCAGCATGAAAAATACAAGAATGAAAACAAAAAATTGTATAGTTTCTGCGCTGATTTCAACAAGAGACATATACCAATACAGTTTCTCGGTCCTGCACTAAATGGTATGTAGACATAGGGATGACGTCCTTTAATATTTTCCGGTAAAAATCTGTCCGGATCAAAAACATTTGCATTTGGCCAGTATTTCTGATTTCTGTGTACACTGTAAATGTTAACTCCCAACGTCGTACCAGATGGAATTAAATAATGTTCTGCAAAATAAATGTAATTACATAAAAAATAAAATAAAGAATCAATAGTATAACTGTGATATAAAAGTATACGTTTATATGAATATATGTTTCATACTTAGCTGCAAATCATGAGAAATTTGCCGAGAAATTATATGAACGCTTGGATACAAACGAAGAGATTCTTTTAAACATCTCTCGAAATACGAAAGTTTTTGAAACAACGATATCGTCAAATTATTATCTTCACCCATAATCGATTTAATCTCGTCTCTTATTTTTTCCTAAAAATAAATACGCTATTTTTTATTCATTGTATGAACTGTGTAAATCGCTAAGCCTAAAAATATTGAAAATTTTAATAAATTTTGATCGAATTCGAGTACCGATAAAACTTTTTATTTAAAGTTAATATCATTATTCATTAGTATTAAAAACAAATTACTAA